CACAAGATGGGCTCCTTTATCTTCGTTCTTGTTAACTTTTTGAGCGTGTTCCCTGAGCCGCTCGTTGATACATCTTCCAGTTTTTCCGACGTAGAACTTGCCACACGAGAGCGGGATGGCATAAACCACGCCGACGGCACACGGGACATAAGTCACACCGTGTCGGATTTTGCAACCTCCTCTGTTCATACCGCAAGTGCGGGAGCACTTGCGGTATGAACAGAGGAGGTTGCAAAATCCGCGAAAAAGCGAAAAAGCGCTGCAGGCTGTGTCAAAAAACTTTGCTCCTGTTGGGAAGCGGGAGGTGCGTGTGAAAACAAAATTCGTGGATTTTTGTAAGAAACTGGAATTAACATTGCTTGCGAAGAGCATCCAGAATAGCAGAGGGAACTCTTTGACTGTGTTTTTCACGGCGAAGACTCATAAGGCAGAGGTACCCTTTAGAACCATCGTCAGTGAAAAGGGGTGCTGGCAACACAATGTCAGCCTGTTTTTGCAGGAAAAATTGAAGTCACTGGTGTACAATGATCCCTTTCGTACAAAAAATGCGGATGATGTAGTGCACTTCTTGAGTAGGAATACCAATGTGGGTTATGGATTCTCAGTTGACATAGAAGATTTGTTTTATTCTGTACCCCAGCATGAGCTTATGTCTTCTGTGCAAGCGTGCATTGAGGCCTATGGGGCTGTGCCTTTTCAGAATTTTGCCGGTGTTTCTTTGAGCAATTTCTTGAGCCTTTTAGAGTTTTATCTTAAGGTCACTTTTATCGTTTTTAATGACCAGCCATATTTGCAGCGTAATGGCATATGTATTGGTTCCTGTCTGGCGCCTCTGCTTGTAGATATTTTTTTAGCAAATGTGGATTGCTCTTTAAGCATAGGTTTTAGCGCGAGAAAGATTGTAAAGGTTTTTAGGTACGTCGATGATTTTTTGGTTTTATTATCTATAGACTCCTCCTACCAGGACTCGGTGACTAAGATTTTAGGTGATTTTAGCAGAGAAGGACGAGGTCTGGTGTTTACTTTTGAGCTCCCACAGAATGGTGTTTTACAGTTTTTAGAATTAAGGCTCGAGTTTTGTGAACGTCATGTGTGTTGGTCCTATCATCCACGCGCAACTAAGGACTTGTTACCTTTTAAGTCGGCGCATTCGAAAATTGTGAAAAGAGGTATTGCGATGGGGGCCATGGAAGCGGCGCTTAGAAAATCATGCACTCACAAGATGCACGATAGTTTCGCAAATCAGATCAGCCGACTTTTGGCTGCGGGGTTCCCAAGGTCGCTTTTGATTGCAGTGGCGGAAACGCTCTTCCAGAAAAAGAAAACTGCCAAGCGGGCGGACGCCGTACAGGACAAAGCGAGGCCTGTGGTGGTCCCGTATATGCATGGGATATCCCATCAGCTCAAGAAAGTGGCAGGCAGACATGGGGTCGCTATGGCGCTGTCTGCCCCGAACAAGCTTTCCAAGCTGTGCTCCCGCACTTGCGGTATGAACAGAGGAGGTTGCAAAATCCGACACGGTGTGACTTATGTCCCGTGTGCCGTCGGCGTGGTTTATGCCATCCCGCTCTCGTGTGGCAAGTTCTACGTCGGAAAACTGGAAGATGTATCAACGAGCGGCTCAGGGAACACGCTCAAAAAGTTAACAAGAACGAAGATAAAGGAGCCCATCTTGTGGCTCATATTAATTCTTGCTGCAATTGTGAGCCACGTTTTGAAGGGACGTCGATCCTTGGCAGGAGTAACAATGAACATGCGCTGCTGGCTTTGGAAGCCTATCATATCAGAAAAAGGGCTCAGCTTTGTATAAGTGACACGTCTCTGACGCTGCTCCCATCTGAGTTTCAGTTCATTTCATCACGTATGTAATACACGGTTTCATTTCTTTTGTCAACTCTGATTGTTCCTCTGAGTGTCTGTTATCTGTCGAGATGTGTGGCGCATGTGCGGTGAGGTTGCCCAGGAGGTATTTATGCATTGACATATCCCGAAATAAAGTCAGTTGTTAGTCAGCGCTGGTGTGTGTCGTCGCTTTCTTTGTGGATCGTTTTATGTTTGCGCTGTAAAAGTATATTCTATGGTTTACGTATATAGCAAGCTTTGAATGAATACGTCATATTGAATACGTTGACTTTAGTAAAAAACAATTCAGATTCCCTCAACACGCGTCTCCTTCCTTTCACGCGACTCATTGAAAAACCAGGCCATATTGCCCCTTTTACTTTCTTTAGCATCATGCATGTTTTCGGTATTCCTGTGCACACAGCTCTGAATGCCCTATATTTTCAATACACGCTGCGTGAAGAATCAGGAACTGCCATAAAAGATAAAATTTTGTTGGGTGCCAACAGCGTAGATTTGTTATTTCTGCATCTTCTTTTTTCCCGTCAGGTAACTCAAGTAGACAAATAGCAATTTTAATTCTAAAGCAAATCTCTATTGTGCAACTTCCTTCCGCAATATAATTGGGGGCTCATCTGTGGCTGCCTGGCAGACTCGATGAACCTGGATGATAATTGACTACTATTAACTTCACTTTCTCTGTGAAACTGACTAATAAGAGTACAAATAAACCTTGGTGCCTATGAAAGGCTATAATCGACCATACAAAATAGAAAGAGGATAATCTAAATCATGATTGCAATCCGAGATGTAAAAATATCAAACGAGTGAAACACTGGTTAGGGCACTGATATATCTCGAAGGTAAGTGTGGTTAACCAGTCACAGACCCTAATAATTTAAATGGTAAGACAAATTCTAAATTACGCTAAATATTATCGTTCATCTTGCAATATACAAGATAAAGCTGATATATTGAACTTGGTTGCGATCTAATATTGATAATTTTGGGAGACAATTAGATTAAACAAAAGCCAATCTCTATATCAATAAACATTGGCAAGAAAGCTCTAGATTTTTATGATCTAAAGCAGACGGCGAGATGAACATTATCTTCAAGAGTGTTCAACAAATAACTAGATCACCAGAAATTTATTTTTTACAAGCAGCTCTTTATTCGGTTGTATGTGGTCTTTCCTTTTCTGCAACCATGCCCGATTTGTAAGTATAAAAGAAAAATATTGCGCCAACTGCAAATGATGAAAGCTATTTGATTGAAGTTTTTACTACCAATACAATGGGAAGTGTTGCTAGAATGCGTTAGTATTTTGTAATTATTTTAATATACATAGAATATTTTGATAACATTGTTTCTTGCTTCTGTAGTCGGGTGTGAGATATTCTATCGCACTTCACGGATTCATGAATGTGTGTAAGACTGAGGATTCTTTTTGTTGTTGAAAATCATCTTTTCTTTAAAGTTACGATATTGTTGCGACTTATTCACATGCAAATGCGCGATTTCGTTAAACAAGAAATATGGATTGTAATGACACGTAATAATTAAAACTATCAAATTGTGACATGCATTATACTATGATCAACCATCCAGGCACAGAAATTACGCCAATATGCTTGAAAAGAGTGTTTAAACAAGCACCTTTTATTTACTGCATTATGAATTGGACAAATATTGAGGTTATATATTATATTTAGGTGACAGACACTTTTTCGTAATCTGATCCTTGCGCACGCATAAAGCGATAAACCGAGATAGTCAAATAGGGCAACAAAAAAAAGAGAAGATAGCGCATCATTTGTTTTTAAAAAAAGTATCTTGCAAACTAGTTCTGCGGAAATCCGCAAGGTGGCGGCAAAGTTAAGAAAAGGAAAAAGACATCCACGTGTTTCTATCCCGACGCCCCAAGAAAATCTGTGCGGACTCTTTTGTGGCTTCATAAGGATTTCCTTTTGGCCATAGTAATATTGACTATAGAATGAACTGCTAGACTGAATACAGGAATTGCCCACTGCTCTCTGGAGTGATTGCAAGCAAGGTTGGCTCAAACCGACCTATAGGTTATTTCTATAATTCTACTCGTTGTTGATTTCTTTACTTTTGTAGCTGAAATGCAGCAGCTCTACAAATATTTTGAAAACCTACATTACAGCATATTCGGGTGATCATTTCGCAGTGTTATCACCCAACAATGAAGGACATGATAACATCTTATAAGCTGTACAGAGAAAGTAGACTAGGATCACCTAGCTTGCATTATCGGTGGTACAACTTGCACTTATACATAAATGTTGCAGGTCAGCCAGAACTTTCTGAAACTGTAACTCGAATAATATGCATAAATCCCAGTCAGGCAAGAAGGATGTGTAATTATAAGAGAACTCACTAAGACATGGGCTTCGCTTTTTTGAAGCCATTATGTCACGCAATAGGCCACGCTGAGACTATTCTCCTGACGCTTATGATCGATTCACACAGTAGGTCTATCTTAGAATGATTCTTGGGAATCGACATTCTGTTAGATAACAAAAAGTAGCACCATGGGTCCATGGACATGCACTCATGACGACGATTCTCACATTTTATGTTTTCGACTGTACCGATATCTTTTGTTTCATTTGTATGGACACTGAGGCGCTCACAAAGATGGCTTGATGACGCCATAGACCTGAAAACCTTTGTCATCGACTCCTCATGTTATTTTGCGTCACTCAATGTACGATATACGGGTAACGCTCGGCTAACATATGAGAGACAAAAAGGCTTACCAATACACAAATGCCAACCATAGTTAGGACGGAACAATATAAAGCACCTACTAGCACAAACACCTAATTATAGTCGGTGGCTTCAACGTATACGTACGGGCTTGAGGAACTAACTCGCTGGCGTAGGCACATTTGATATTATGAAAAGTGGTCAGCATAAACACTTACCTGGTAATACTTGCATATTGCAACGGCTTTTTCACATTGTTTTACACCTCAAGATAAATGATCTAAACATTCCATCTGGTGACTAGCTATACAAGGCTTCATTATCCTGCCAAAACTATTTAATTTTCAATTGTCACGCTGGCTCTGAAACGCATCCTTGCCGTTTTCTCTACCCTATTATTACTAAACACTTTGTCTTTTTAGGTAGTACTGACAATGAATTACCACAAGGAAGTGCGCACAATGAGGCTCCTCATTCACATGCACGCAATAACACCACAGAAAGAGGTAAGTTTATTTCTGTTTACCCAAAAATAGGTCAAATATATTTGTATTCGTCATCATGGTTTGGTAATATGCGGTTATAAAGAATCATACGACGCCGATCGTCCCAGTCATTCTAGCAACCATCTCAAAGGTCTTCTAAACAACTCGACCTTATTTATCACATTAAAAAACCCCGAATCACCAGAATATTTCCGATATAACGAAAATTTTGGTCGTGTGGGAGCCTTTGATATTCTCAGATTATCGTCCTAATGGGGTTTGTCAGAAAAATTATTCTGAGAGGGTCATTGCTTCCTTCTGTACTAAATTTAGTTCACGTACTAAGAAGAAGAGTTAGTTCGAGGAGTTAATAGTTTGATATTACTGTTTTTCTGCCATAAAATCCTCCATAAAATTTGCTAAAGTGTCATTTGTTTGCCTGTTTCTCTTTGGGATATTACGCTAGGTAATAATATATCAATAATGAATGGCCACTTTGAAAACCATATATTTTGCGTTAGAATATTTTCAGACCACTGCTGGTTCCTAATTTTAGAAGAAACAATTTGAGAAAATTGTCATTTTGATAAACATTACGATGCAATTTGCACCTCATGGTGCTCCAACTAAAATTGAACTTTGTACCTCAATCGAAAGCAAATGAACAGTTACCCTTACATGTAAAGGTTTACCATTAAAATTTTCGTTTTAAGGAAGAAAAGTCGCAGCTTTGCAGCAAAAGCGAAGCAATTCACGCGATAGCAAGAACTTTGAAAGCCACACGCAAAATGGCAAGCATATGGAAACGTGCCCCGCGTTTCTCACGCACCAATGACGCACGAAACGTACTCACAGGTACAGATGAACGCGAATAAAGGTATCAGTTGTTACTCGCTGTGTCTAAGAAGCGCGCTCTTTTCGCAAACGGAGACTGTGAAATTATTGCAGTGACCTTTGTGCGCCCGGTAAAAAGAGAATCGTTCCAGAGAAAGAACGATGCCAGCCAAGACGCACGATACTCCTCACGCGCGAGATAACGGCACAAGAGGGAGCATCCCCCCGCCTTCCCTTTTTGCCGGGCAAAGTACGTGCAGGAGGTGGGAGCACGCGCAACCACGTCGTGACGACGTGGCGATGCGCACGCACTCATTGCGCCATCTTTCTGGTAATGCTGAAAACAAGATAGTCCCCCCCCCCCCCCCCCCCCAAGATGCCCAACACGAGCGGTAAGGGATATAAAGAGCTTGCAGTTTGAACGTTAAAGAAGGTGCTCCTCTGCGGCTCAGTGGTTAACACCTCGCATTCGCATTCATGATGCAGAGGTCCCACGCGCCAGTGTCTTTTCACTCATATATATATATATATATACATATATGTATATATAAATATATATAAATATATATATATATATATATATATATATATAGAGAGAGAGAGAGAGAGAGAGAGAGAGAGAGAGATAAGATTGGAGGAGAAGATTGGAGGCTCCCGAGGGGGGTTGTTGACCGGGCTAGGGTTGGCGGCTGGTGGTTGCGCCGGCGGGTGGTTCGGTTGGGCTTGCTCTTGTGCCATGGTGCTCTGCTGGCGTAAGCGACGTCCCGAACGGAGCTCCAGGAGGTGGCTTTGGATAAAGAGAGGTCGAAGAGATCGGGAAGCACCTTCCACCACTTGAAATACAACGGTTCAGCTGACGGTTTATTCAAGCAACAGCAAGATGGTGATGAGTTGCTCCTGACCCGGGAGCAGTATGGATTCGGAAGCTGTGAGGAAACGCAATGGTTTTTCGTCGACGCGTTCGCTGCAGTACCGGTCTCGGTCATTTCGACTACACGTTGACGGCAAGAAATTAATGCAGACGCTGATAAGAGAAAGTCCCAACCTAAAATTAGTTCATGAGCCCATGAAATTAAGACAGCGAAAGTGATGTGATGACGAATACCATCAATGAAGACACGCGCTGTACATTGGGCCGATGGTCTAATTATTGCTCCATTGGCCCCAATCAAAGATGATCCAAGGTAGGGTGTCTTCACTTTCCGCAATCCAGAACACCAGTCGGCACGCATAACTGAAATAGTTGCTCCCCTGTCCACCAAAGCCAACACCCGCACACCTTGCACAGTTACCAATAACATGTTTGACGGTCGTTTAGGAGGACTTGGGTCATTTCGCCGCGATGCAGTTTTCCCTCCAAAAACTGCACAGTTTAGTTTTCCCACCGCTGGGCAGCCATTTGAGAGACAGGCCGAAGTGGTGAAACAGAGCGTCGGAGTGGCAAAGGGGAGCGTGGTCGGGATGCACGTGTATTGTTGGTCGTGTTGGAAATGCGCACAGGAGACGGTGATCGGTGGTTAGAACGACTGTCGGCATAACGGTAGTAACCTCGAGCACATAATTCACGGCCAGGCTGGCCGCTTCCGTCGACGGGGGAAATTAGTGTAAGAATTCAATGGACGTCATCTTTCTCATCTGCCAATAACCATTATCAGTCTTCGCCGCGTTCCTCTTTATCATCGGCGCCATCTTGCTGTTGCTTGAATAAAGCGACAGCTGAACCGTTGTATTTCATGATATATATATATATATATATATATATATATATATATATATATATATATATATATATATATATATATATATATATATATATAATATTCAACTGCGCTGGTTGGAGAGGTGCGAGACTGGTTTGCGTCGTTGGCAGGTGCGAGGCATGAGCGGACGTATTTGCAGACGATGCTGTACATTCCGCGCCAATAATAGCGTAGGCGAAGGCGCGTGTACGTCTTCAACACGCCACTGTGCCCACACTAAGGGTCATTGTGGAAAGCAGAGCAGAGATTGCGACGAAGATGGTGAGGCACGACCAATAAACATGTGTGGCCATCGTTGTGGTAGTTACGGCGGTATAAAGGACAATCGCGTATAGCGTAATGCTGTACTTGGCGGCGTAGCACTCGTGGAGCCGGGGTGGTCAGGGGGCTTGACAAAACGTTTAGAATTGTGGCGATCCAAGGGTCATTTCGTTGCTCCGAGGCCATGTCTAAGATGTCGAGTGGCGATATATCGTGATTGTGACTAGATGCACTGGCGTCTGAAATTAGCGGGAAGCGTGACAGGGCGTCAGCGTCAGAGTGTTGTTGGCCAGAACGATATACGACACGGATGTCGTATTCCTGGAGTCGAAGGGCCCACCGAGCAAGGTGACCTCACGGGTTCTTGAGGTTTGACCAACACGGAGTGTGGTGGTCTGATACGACGTCAAAAGGACTACCGTAAAGACAGGGAAGAAGCTTCTGTAGAGCCCATATGACGGCCAGGCTATCTTTTTAGGTTACGGTGCAGTTGGTCTCAGGTTTTGTAAGTGCACGACTGGCATATGCAACCACGTATTCGGCGTTGGTATCGTCACGTTGTGCGAGCACAGCACCAAGGCCGACACCACTAGCACCAGTGTGAATTTCTGTGCGTGTGCTCAGAGCGAAGGGACGCGAAATTGGTGGAGACGTAAGCAGGCGTCGAAGTGTCGTAAATGCATCGTCACAAGCTTCTGACCCGGTAAATAGTTCGTTGTGGCCCTGCCTGGAGGAGCGCATTGAGAGGTGCGATAACAGTAGCAAAACTACGAACGAAGCGCCGCAAATAGGAGCATAGGTCAATGAAGGTGCGCAGTGCTTTCAGGTTAGTAGACTTCAGGAACTTGGATATGGCTTGAAGTTTAGCAGGATCAGGAAGAATGCCTTCTTTGGAGACGACATGGCCTAGTATAGTTAGTTTTCTAGCGGTGAATAGGCACTTTTTCAAGTTAATCTGAATACCGGTATTTTGGACACAGGTCAAAGCTTGATGCAATCGTTGTAAATGGGTCGGGAAATCTGGCGCAAAGACGACAATATTATTACGAGGCAGTAGACATGGCTCCGCCCCGTCGTAGGCGTATCGATGAAGAAGAAGCGGATTCGGCGTGCGAGATTCTAGCAACCCTGAGGTGTCACACCTATCTGTAAATATTGCAAATACACTCCTTTCTATCTTACGTGTATTTGCAATCTCGGTAACAAATTGGTGTAAGTGCTGGGTAACGAAGCGCACTACAACGAAGCTCCGCAGTGGTCGTCAAATCGGAGTTTCCGTGATGGAACACGGGACTGATCCCACGGCCACCTCTCCATCGGCCTCGGCAACTCCTGCACCATCTACGGCAACGCCTCAACCGGCCACACCCCCACCCACGCACGTGCTGACGCATCCGAAACATCCAGGAACGTTCTGCGGTACGGACGAAGTTGATGTTGACGACTGGATAGCCGACTACGAACGTACCAGTGCGCTCAACCGGTATGACCCGACTCTCATGCTGGCCAACGTGCTGTTTTATCTGAAAGTCACGGCCAAAGTCTGGTACGACAACCATGAGGAGGAGATCAGCAGTTGGGACACGTTCAAGGAGAAGCTTCGCGATTTATTTGGGAAGCCCATCAGTCGAAAGGCGGCTGCAAAAAAGGGGTTGTCTCTACGCGCTCAGACGTCCACAGAGCCGTATATCTCTATATACTGGACATGCTGGCTCTATGTCGTAAAGTCGACAACGACATGTCTGAGTCGGATAAGGTTGGCCACGTCCTCAAGGGGATAGCGGACGATGCGTTGAACCTCCTAATGTGCCGGAACTGCGCGACTGTCGAGGAAATTATTCAGGAATGCCGGCGTTTTGAACAGGCCAAAAGCAGGCGTATTTCAAGATCTTTCACTCGACTGCCGAACACCGCTGCGACGTCCTCCTGCGAAAATGGTCTGACCTCTCATCGGCAGTCTTCACCGGCGTCTGAAATTACGCGAATCGTCCAGCGGGAAATCGAAGCAATTACACCTGCTCTCCCAGCAACGGCCACGTCGATTTGCAAGTACCTCAGGTTTGCTTGGTACAGTCGATTGTGCGGGAAGAACTCAGCAATTTGGGCTTCGATGTCTGCGCCGTTGCTCAGTCTTGACCATTTGGCTACCGTTCAAGGTCGCCGCCT